GGTTTAAGGTTTAGGGTTTAGCGGGCCTGCAGCAAGCTCGGGGCCGCCGCAGCACAGCCGCTCCCCTCGCAGCCCGGGGCCCAGGGCACAGCGCCGAGGGCGGCGAGGGCGGGGAAGGCGCAAAGGCACAGCAGCCGCTGAGCTGATCCTCTCGTCATGGTCGGCCTTGATAAAAGGCCGGAACGGTAGGTAAATGGCGAAAATGGTATGCTTTCGGCGCTATGGTACTATAGAGCCACAACTGCGAAGGATGCACGGTGAGATCTCAAGCTGACGAGTTTCAACCTGGCATGCCAAAACCTTCTCCTCACGTAGGCTGCTGCCTTCAAAGTCGACAGGTCTGCTACACTGAAGCTCAATGCCCTTTGCCCTGCCATGTGACCTACTCACGCCGTCAACGCACAGGACTCTTTTGAGTCCTGGCAAACTCAGTCGCCGGTTTGTAGAAAGGCAGAGCGCAGCCGTGCCGCCTGCGACGAGCTGATAGCTTAGCTTCTGGGGCTTGCAAGATCTGGGAGCCTTTAATGCTAGAGGTCCGTATATAAAGCTTTATCCTTTAGGGTTCATGCTTTTTCCTGTTTTCGAGTTACGGCTATACGATTCAGGGTCGACCCCTTCAAGGCTTGCAGCTTCAGGGTTGGAGGATGTAGATGCTTTAGGTTTAATAGGTTAGGGTTGAGGGTTTCGGGCTTAGGGTTTAGGGTTTCGGGTTTAGGGTTATGGACGTAGACAGCGAGAGTGCCCGGAGGCTTGGAGATCCTGCTTTGTTCGGTTTGGGGAGTCCGAGAAGACTACGGCTTGGGGTCTAGGGTTTAGGGTTTAGGGTTTGAAGACTGAGGTTTTCAATGCCCGCATTCATGGAGAGCCTGACTCCCGAAATCAAGACTGCTCCCCTGCGCTGGCTTCGAACGCTCATTCCTTGCAGGCTCTTCTCCAACACGCTGAGCTGAACTTCTCAGACTCCCGATTCGGGTTTGCGGTATAGGGTATAAGGTTTGGGGTAAAGCGTTTAGGGCGCAGGCGTTTAGGAGCCTCGGCATGGCGATTCAGGGTCTAAGGGTTGCAAGCTAATAGCTTGTGTGC